GATGTCTTTTAGAAAACTAATTAGGGCATGATTAAAGTGCTGCTCAGTTATGCCAAAACTCAATGACAATCCATGGCATTAAAGAGTTTGAAGCAATGCCATTCCAACACTGAACAACACTTCTAAAACACATGCTTTGTATCTTAGCAAGTATCACATTCATCTATCATGTAGGTATTGCAAATGCCATATGACATTTCGGTAATTCCAACATGTATTATCTACCTAGGACATCAATGTTAACATTTTACTCAAAGTTCAAAACACTTCAGTTGTTGAAGTGTCCAAGTAGTGAGCAAGACTTTGATTGCAGTACAAGACAACTCACCGTAAGCTCTAGTAAGAATGGCACCCCACTTCCCTTGAAGTGTTAACACTTTGTTAGAAATGTTGACATGTAGACTTTGTAGGCGGCGCATCGCCCGCATATGCGAGATAAGCCCACATATGCAGCCTCTGCTTGTGGAGAAACTTGCCCACCAGTAGGGGACAAAGTGCAGGATCCGTTCGCGTTGATAGCCAAGATAATGATAAATACAATTGGGCAGTTTGGCCCCAGCCTCAAAGGCCCTGCATTTCATTAGCTTAGGAGCCCCTATTGAGAGATATGTGAAAGATGTTAAGAAGATTCTGAATTCCCAGACAGATGGGGTGGAGAAGTATGGGCCCCGTCATGTGTAATGGATGGTCCATCTTTGATTATCAATTATTTGGTCAAATATCCATAGGGACTGTTTTTCCTGAAATCCAATGATGCATCAGATTCAAGCCATTCACATGATGCAAATTACATCTTTCTCTTGATGGATTAGATTGTTGATGAGGTTAGGTAAGAGTCGTACACATTATCACAAACAATGCTACCGATTATTCTGCAGTTGGGCATCGGTTGACATTAAAGCAAAAGCATATGTCCTGGACTCCTTGTGCAACACAATTAGATCTCATGCTTGAGGACATAGAGAAGTTGTTTAGGGTCAATGTTCAAGAATGCGGAGCCGCCTAGGTGGGTGCCCAGATACCTGGGCAGCACGTTTTTTGGGGGACCAAAAGGAGGAGGAGGTTTCTTTATGTGACACATATATATATATATATATAGAAAATATATATGTATATATATACATATGAGAGTTTTTTGACACGAGAGACAGAGAGAGAGAGGGAGAGTTATGACATGGGGAAAGGACAACATAATCTTGGCGACACAAGGGGAGACAAAAATGACGCATTGATTGATGAGTAGAATAGGTAGCAGTGCAAGAATGCTCCATGTGTAAAGTGTAGGGGTGGTAAAAGTCAAAATGTTAAAAAGGGTGAAATATAAAAATGATAGTGATTATCAATTATAGTCAATAAAAGGAGAGCATTCCACGTGAAGGTTCATTTGAAAGCAAAGCCTTAAATATTTTGGCTTGTTAGAATTAAACCATTGGTGGGTGGTCCCACATGAATCCACACATTTAAAAAACCGTAACACATGCTTGTCAAAAAAATAAAAAGCAATATCGCCTTTAAAACCCTAAAGTCATGAGGGAGAGTACTTAAATAGGGTGGTACTAGGCGGGCGCCTTGGATGCTTAGAAGGGCACCTTAGTACACCCGCCTAGGCGGTTTGACAAAATGGCCGCCTAGGCGGCCGGGCGACTGAAGTTTTGTACATTGCCTAGGGTTAAAGGGGAATCGACAAAACTACAGCAACCATTGGTCATCTAGAACCATAAATTGTTCTTAAGCATGATGAGGGCATTCACAAAGAAGATAGTGATAGTGGTCCAAGAATTACTAAATTTACCAAGTATCTAACTCCCCAAAGCATATGCAAGCATAACGATGCTTTAAGCAGCATGTTCACATCAGAAAAGTGGAGTACAAGTGAGGGTTAAGCATCAAGATGGGAGAAACACTGAGAAGACCATATCAAATACACCTTTTTGGGATATAGTTCACTTTATATCAGACATTTCTAGTCCTTTATCAGAAGTTATAAGGTTAGTTAATGGTAATGTGAAAACTGTGATGGCTACATACATGAGGCAATGATTCAAGCAAAATAAGAATCGCATTCGTTTTGAAGGATAATGAAGGCCTATATAAGCTTATCATTGCGTTCATGCATAGGAGAAGGGACACATAGCACCACTAGGCCTTCCATGTAGATAAACACCCATTGAATTCATCTCTCATTACAAATGACCAGCCAATGAATCAAAATACACAATCAACATACGCTTCTTAGAAGTTCTTGAGGCTTTGATTCCCAATCAGAGTATACAAAATAAATTTCAAAGCAATTAGTCATTGGATTTTAATTGTGCAATGGGAACCTTGAACGATATATGCAATTAGGATAACCAGCTATCAAATTTGTATGAATTATGAAAACACTAACCTTGAAAGATAAAAGTTCAAAATTCTCAACTTTTTCCCTTTTCTTTTTTTAACTCAAATTTTACCCCATTAAATATTTAACTACCAAGCTGAGCGGAGGATATCTTATGGAAGAAAGACATCAAATCCCAAAGTCTCACCATTCAAGTGTTGATACCTCACTTGTAGTTCATCCTGTTATGAATGCAACCAAAGCACATTTAAGCATGTAAGTCTTTTTCTGCTTGGTTTGCTATGATGTAGAGTGTATAAATCTAACTAGCATAGGTTAAGTGACCCTTGTTTCCTTTGCTTGTTTTCTTTCTTTTTATACCAGCTTTATAGTAAAAGAAGGAATATATGTCCAATATAATGAAAGCCCTAGGAAAAGGTAACAAAAACATATGGATATTGACCCTATTATCTTGGATGAACCTGATCATACAAGCAAATGGAGATCCAAAATCACAGCGGGCGTTTGAGGTGAGAGATTCACTTGGTAGGATGTCAAACAAGCTTCAAGGGACACCGAGGACCTAGGCCTCATACTAGATAACAAAGGAAAAGAGTTGGGTCCACATTTACATGATTCCAAATATCGAGGAGGAAGAAACTAAGGAAGAAGTATATATGAATGTGTGACCTATGACACATGTAATGATGGCTTGGCAGCCTAGGCTTCGAATGTGGGAGTTATAGAGGAAATGCACGTGGATATGATTTTGAGTCCGATTAAACCTCTTTTTTTTGTCTTTTTTTTTTTTTTTGATATCTTAGCTTTTGGTCTTTGGATGCCATGTACTTGCAAAGTACTTTACGCATTTATGCTATACACTACATCCTACTTAGTTGCTATATGCTAGTTTACTTTTTAAGTGCTTGCTTGCTACAATGCCTGTTCTTTTGTGTTTCTTTTGCAATTAAATAATGAATCTAATCAACTTAGTGTACATGTTAATTGCTGCAATTGCGTGATAATAGGGACAAGAAATGACTCTAAATACCCTTTATCGGACTATCCACGACTCAGATAGCATACATATTAGAGAGAATACCAAATTAAAATGCCAACATCGCATGAACCACATGTTCTATGCTCTTCTCTGCAATCTTATATTTTTTTGTAATTTCTAAAATTATTGATCGCGATGGAAGTGATGGGTTGAATGAACTTATATTACATGTTAATTGCATCGGAGAATAGAGACCAGAAATGACTCTATATTACCCTTTATCGTGCTATCCACGACTCAGATGGCATAAATATTTGAGACAAATACTAAATTAAGACGCCTACATACATGAACCACATATTTATATTTTTCTCTACATTCTTATTCTTTTGCAAATTTTAAAATTTATTGAACATGATGGAAGTGGTCTAATAAGAGTGAGGACCTTAAACTTTCTTTTAACCCATCTGAAGCCCTCGTAAAAGAGGTGGTTTGCGTTAGGTAGGCAGCCAGCATAAAACTTTGCCACATCTTATCATAAATCTTGAACCTATATTATATGCTCATCCATGGGCACTCCCCTTAAGTGACACGCTGCACCACCCGGGTGCAGTGAGAAATAAGCAAGGGTTAGCTAGGGCATTCCCTAGAAGCGACGTGATATACCCGTACGCAAATGCAATGGGAAATAAGGAAGGGTTAACTAGGGCATTCCCCCGAAGCGATGCCGCAACACCCGGTTACGGTAGACAACCCCAAACAATTGAGATAGGCTTAGATGATGATGATGATTGAACTTGATGAAAGTGATGTGCATAAGGCTAATAGCCCCTCGGAAACCCATGTATTGAGTCTAGAACCTGCATTTGTAAGCATGCTTTCTTGTACAAATATAAGTTGTATTCATTGTAAGTTTATTGTATGATTTATGCATGACCAACTCATGCTTTATTTTAACCCAATTTGATATATAAATAAGTTTGCTTGGGTGGATAGTATAGACTGAAACAAAAGTTGGAATTCTATATAGCAAAATTATTTGACGAATATAGGCGTTCATCAAAATTTCATAAAATATCCAATTGTTCAATGCCATATAACAAAAAGACTCAAAACCGCATGATAGATGGAATGTCTGTAAAACAATTAGAAGGCAACATCTCAGATGAGAACAATTTCAGTTTTCCTACTCAAGACGCAACACAGGACCTGATGCAAATACTATTGAATTGAGAGAGAGAGAGAGAGAGAGAGAGTTCCAACACCTCAAATGAAACCAGGATCACGGGAGAACAAGAAGCAGCCAATTGAGAATCTAACTATCAAGTAGTAAAATAGACAGGCAAAAATTAAGACATAAACAAGACAGTATGCAATCTACAGTATGCAAAAGCCAGAAGACAATCATGTATTTCAACCTAAGATGACTAGGAATATCAGACAATCACCAGTTACAACCATCAATATCTCTTACAAATAAGTATATATACAAACAAATAATTGCGTAACTATTCCAATAAAGCTCCACAAATGAGCCCCCCAAAAAACTAATCAAAAAAGAAAAAAATGACTTCGTTTGTATACAAAGAGCACTCCTGAAATGAGCCCCAAAAAACTCAAGGATAAAATGCGAAAAGAAAAAAACAATTTGAAAAGTAGAGAGAGAAAAAGGACACATACCTGAATAACGTTTTGGTTCATGAGACTGTAATTGGGTCCCCTCATCTCTGTAACTCCGAATCTTCTTGGTTTTTCCGGCCTGTCTTCATCCTCAAAGAAACTTTTCCACATGTAAGCTGGCATTCTCTCTTTCTATGTAGCAGCAATAGAAATTGGGTCAGGCCGATCACGATCAGAGGGTAACAAAGCTGGTGAAACCTAGAGAGAGAGCCAACAAACAACGGGAAGATGGAAAACAGTTAAAAAGTAAAGGTTTCGGGGGGGAGCAGCTCAGAGAGTATGTGAGATCGTTCTGGAAGGGTCTGTTTTTGCCTTCCAGAAACAGCATACCACCTGTTTCGCTCTCACATCTTCCCAAAGTGTGCGTTACACGTGTCACGGCGGCTTGGTCGCTTTGTCTTTGGACCGTCCATTTAAGAGTTTGACAGTCGAGATGTGAAAGAAGTCCGTACAAATAAAAACTAAGATTTCTTACATGGTACCCTCCTTTTCTATGATCACCATTTGGACCAAGTGATGAACGGTTAACGGCACCTGAGGCCATTTGATTTCCAGATGAGGGAAACCTTTGTTTTTTTTACCTAAACGCCACGCCCAAAAGGGTGAACATGCTATGTTCTTTAGTTTTTGCCATGCAAAAAAGAAGCATAAATGAACTGCTAACATATTGCCCATTTGCAACTTTTTATCAAAATACTCATAAGAAATGAGCTTAACATATTTGCCCATTTGCAACTTTTTATCAAAATACTCATAAGAAATGAACTTAACATATTTGCCCATTTGCAACTTTTCCAATTTAAGACCATTTGGTGAAAAGCTATGGGTATTGTGTTATACAGGTCATCTCTTGTAGGTAATTCGATAAATTTCCCTATATTTTATATAAAAAGAGTATGTACATATCTTTCTTCTATATATAACACACGAGAAAGGTCGAATTAGCTCACACATTTGACATCTAGGTTCCATGTAGAGATTTGTTATGCGTCCAGACAATTTGGCTCTTCAAAATTAAAATTTATTTTCGTACTTTTTGAGTGAACATAGGGAAAAGATAAAAAAGGAAAAAAAAAGAAAAGAAAAAAATTACTATACATCCCCTCCCATATATCTTTTATTTAGTTCTCCCATCTCCTAGTTGTCCAATCTAAATGAACATGTGCAATTATTTTGTTGCTAACGTCACAAATAGTGATAAGTATGGGTTAACATGCTCAGTTGGTTCCATTCAAATAAAACCCATAAAACTAAGGGTAGTGATGTCATGTAACGGTTGTATTATAGTATAATGCAACAATCTTCAAAATCCAAATTTTAAAATATGCACTATTTTCATTCTAATGAACAATCTCAAAGAAGAAAATTGTGAAAACACAACCTAGAAAATATTTTTTTAGCCCAATTAACAAAGGTCGTCCATTTTGATAAGATGCTTAGATCTAGGCCTTGGACGGATTTTTTCTTTTCCAATTTTTTTAGATGGCTTTATTATAACGGTGTTAAAGAAGAAAAAAATGATTTTGAGTTTGTGAAAGCTAAGATCTTGCAATTCACTAAATGAATGCATGGTCTCGATTCGTTGTTGGGGGGGACTCATTTGACCATATCTAGGATTCAGATTCGGGAAGGACGCTCTGTTCCATGATTCTGACTCTTACTTAGAAGCTTCTAAGGGGGAGGGCTCGTAGAGGGACTTTGCTTTGAACGGCCCACTTCTCATCTCAACCCCGATTGATCCATAGGACTTGCTTCTAAGTGTGTGCCCAAGCCCATCTTTGATTGCCACAAGAATTTAATCTGGTTAGGCTAACTCCAGGGATGGGCACGGAACCCAAGGCAATACATGTTCGATTGGAAAATCTATTGCCAGCTGCATCTCCCACCCCCAAAAACTTATAGGCCCATACGCCCTATCTTCTCGATCCAACATGCCGGCCCACGGCCGCCTATCAAATGAATGGGACGATCGACTGAACAACTTCTCAATACGACTCCTTCCGGGAGTAAGAGATTTTATTCTCTGCATATCAATGGTTTGGATTAGATGGCCCCATATCTCTTTCTGTCCCTACCAGCTTGTGGAAGTGGGCGGTGACTTACTAGACTCTGCCACCATCCCCCTCTAATATTGAGAGGGGAGTCATTAGCATTAAAAGGAATAGGTGATCATGGGTCGTGGAGGAACCTTACTCTAATCTAAAGGGAAAGGAATTTCTCTCATTACAGCCCCCCGTCCGAGATAGATAAAGGCAGCTGGATAGGGAACCATTCCTTCATGTACACTACCCGACTAACTTCCTTATGATTCCAAACCCCCCCGCCCCCCCAACTAACTTATAGGCTTATCAATTTTGAAAAGAAGGAAAGTGTTACCTCGCAAATCCCCTCTGATGTGTTAGAATAATTTGCTTAGTTCTATCTCTCTAAGAAGAAGGATAGTCCTAAGGAACCAGATTCTCATTCTCACCACTCAGCATGTCCAGCAGGTATCACTTCCACTTCTCGTCCATCATCTTCGTGGATGATTGACTCTGAAGCCTCCCATGACATGATGGGCTCTTCTTCGGACTTCCATTCTCTTCGCAATTTTTCTGGCCATAGTTTTTTGTAGGAATGGGTAATGGAGCTTCAGTTCTTGTTCAATGAGTTGGTTCTATTTCCTTTCCCTCTATCTCTCTTCCTAGTGTTTTTCATGTTCCCGGTCTTGACAATAACCTTTTTTCCATTAATCAACTGTGTAAGTCTTAATTGCAGTGCAACCTTATTTTCTTCTCCTTAAACTAAAAAATCTATTTCAGGACCGGGAGGATGATTGGTTCGGGTAAGGAAAAAGGTGGCATCTACATTCTTGACACCGGGCAAATTTTAAGTCACTCGACTACTACTACTATTTGTTCAGTACCTCTCGAAAAAAGGCATAAGCGACTTGGACACGTGAACTTTCGACGTCTTCATTCCATGGCTGAATAGGGACTTTTTTGAAATCTACCTAGCTAGTTTTGCAAAAGGTGTTTTTGATCAATGTACTGCCGGGTGAAAAATAACCTTTTTCCAACAAATCAGTTCATTGTAATAGACCTTTTGAGTTATTTCATAAGGATGTTTGGGGACCTGGTCCCGTGTTATCTCATTCAAAGCTCAACATGGTCCAGAAAGGATTAGATTCTCCATACTCAATGTAAGTGTAAAAGACTTCTTCATCCGAAAAATTCATCATGGGCGGCTCGTAACATGGTAAAGGGTGATGTCCAAGGGCAATAGATTGTCCCAACATTGATTTCTAGGTGACATAAGTGATATCAAACTTTGCCACCTAGCAATTTGGCCTGAAACAACCGGCTTTTCAAATAGATACTTGAGCGGGTCCATGCGCGCGAGAAGCATTACTTGATAAGACAATAGGTAGTGTATGAGGCGTTGAATAGCCCAAACCAAAGCGAGATAGGTCTTCTCTAACGGTGAATATCTCGACTCGCAATCGGTCAATTTTTTGCTCAAATACTATATGTCTTATTTTCTTCTGCCTATGTCGTCATGTTGATCGAGCACACATCCCATGGACGTCTCTGTGGTGGATAAGTAGAGCAGTAAGGGAGGAACTGGAGGATTCGTAAAATCTTTTCTTTTTTCGATCAAAAGTCCATTGGCAATTCTCATTCCACTGCTTAGAGGAGTCCTTTTTAAGGAGTTTGAATATTGGCTCACAGATGGGCGTGAGTTGTGCGATGAAGCGTAGACAACCTATGTGATAATAAACCCCTTCTTTTTCCTTTTGCGGAGGCAATAAACGCCTTGGCCTTTTCCAGGTCTATCTCGATCCCTCTTTAACTTATGATTCATCCTAATAACTGGCCGGATGTAGCACCGAAGATACACTTTTAAGGATTCAACTGCAATTTATACTTTCTGAGGCGGGCGAACACTTCTGGAGGTTGTTTAATAATGATCTTCTCTATTTCGCGATTTGACGATCATGTCATCAACGTATACTTCTGCCTCTTTGTGCATCAGATCATGAAACAGAGCCATCACTACCCGCTGATAAGTGGCGCCGGCATTCTTTAGCCCGAACGACATTACAATATTTCAGTACATGCCAGCTGGTGTGATGAACGAGTTCTTCCTTATTTATGTCTTTAGGAGCCATCTTGATCTGAAATGAAGCACGCTCTATCCATCCATGAAATTAAACATCTCGTACCCTGCCATATGATCAATGAGAATCAGAATATTGGGCAGGGGAAAATCGTCCTTGGGACAGGCCGCCTTGTTGAGGTCAAAGAAATAGACTCAAAGACGAATCAGCCCATTCTTTTATGTATCAATAATCGAGCAAGAAAGTCCTTGCTCTAACAGCATGCATAATCGAGCAAACCAGAGGAAGAGAGAATCGAGAATCAAAGAAGGCGGTAATGGAATAAGGTGGTCATAGGAGAGGGGAACGGCTAATTGGAGAAGGGCATGGGCAATGAGATAGATAGGGCATGTCTTTATAGGGGAGGGGGGTATGAATACAGTATAGTTATAGTTCTTTATCTTCTTTCTTTTGAGGTTTCTTCTTTCTTTTCTGTTTGAAGTGAGTGGACCGACCATGTGATCATGTTTGTTGTACAAACTATATTTTGTACCCCAAGACTTGCGATAGATGAGTCGAGACTTGGGGTACAAAATATCTATATTTTGTACAATATATATATATATATATATATATATATTATGTATACAAAATATATATATATTTTTTACTATAGATATTTTGTACTATATACAGTTTCTAGAAACTATATTTCGTACAAACAATACAATATATATATAGTACATTATATACAAAATATTTTGTAGTATATTTTGTACAAACTATATACTTACATATAGTTTGTAACTATATCGTACTACAGTTTGTACTATATATATTTTGTACAAAATTATATAGTACAATATATATATATATATATATATATACATACATACATATATATGCATATATATTTAGTCAGCAATAGTAGGTAGTCAAAGAGGACTGTCGAATTTAGTTTATGTAGTGGACCAATATATTTCAATTGTTTTCCAAATTATTCTGTATCACTTACAGATCCAAATATTTTAAATGTTTTATCTTTAAATCTCAAAACTCAAGGATTTCATATGATGATAGGTTCTCAAAATATAGCCATCGTCTATCGTATTTATTATAAAGTAATGAATACATTATGTCAAAATGTATTGCAAATAGATACTAGAGGACAAACAATATTTTTCCAAACCAATATGGAAAAATCAAATACAATTATACTAAAAACAATATCATGGTCAGATATTGT